GCTCAGCACAGTCAATCCACTTATTGACTGGACGGTCCCACGACTGATTTTGCCTGACAGTGTGGGTACCTCGAGCGTGGTTGGACAATGGATTGACCCAGGTCAGACTACCGGCCAAGTCAAGGTATTACGTGAGTTTTTCCGCCCACCCCCCCCCACTCCATCCTCCCCAAGTTTCCTTATTGTCTACGCCCTCTTTCTGGACCTATTCTCCATCTTCCCTCGCCTGGAGGCATCGGTCTCAACGGGGGAGTGATCAGCCCAAGACTGGTACAGAAAAGACGCAACCAGTGGTGAGAAAGACCAAGACCAGGGCTACAATTAATTCAGTGACCAGGGTCCAAGGTCAGCCAGTCTTGAAGACGCAATCCAAAGCGTCCAGATGCAGACAGTTTATTACAGGAAGGAAAATCAACAAGCTGGCGAGACAGGGGATACCAGTTTTCCTGGCGTTGGTTCGGGGAGTAGATCGGACTACACCTACACTAGGAGCAGTGCATGGTGGGTCAACACAAGCCCACAAGCAGAAATTACAGTCAGCAGGCCCCAAGAAGGATTTTGTGACAGTTCAGCAGCGGAAGGAACAGATTGTGGAGACGATCAGTGCAGAGCACCGACAGCAGCTACGAGCAATTCTTGATGAATTTGAGGATGTATTTCCGGAAAAGCTGCCTGCCGGGCGTCCACCCAAACGAGCAGTGGAGTTTGATATTCGTGTCTCGGAAGATGCAGAGCCGTCGAATCGTCCACCATATCGTCTTGGACCGAAGGAGCAGGATGAACTGGAGGAGCAATTACGAGATTTGTTGCAGCAGGGATTTATCCGATCTTCGGTGAGTCCCTACGGCGCGCCCATCTTGTTCGTGCCAAAAAAAGACGGACGTTGGCGTCTTTGTATTGATTACCGGGCACTGAATAAACAAACAATAAAGGACCGTTTTCCGTTGCCTCGGATTGACGAGCTATTGGATCGATTGGGGAATGCTCGAGTATTTACTGCACTGGATTTAGCTAGTGGGTATTACCAGATTGGAGTGAAGGAAGGAGCAATTGAGAAGACAGCATTTCGCACCAACCGTGGACATTTTGAGTTTGTGGTAATGCCGTTCGGAATGACGAATGCACCAGCAACATTCCAACGGTTAATGAATAAAATATTCAAGAACGAACTGAATTCTTTCATTCTGGTGTATCTCGACGATATACTGATCTTCTCAAGAACGATAGAAGAACATTGGCAGCATTTGCGAATTGCCTTACAGCGATTGAGAGAGGCCAAGTTGTTTGGGAGGTTGCATAAATGTGAGTTCCTCAAAGACAGGGTGGAGTATCTGGGATTCACTATCTCTACCCAGGGAATGCAGCTATCTCAAGAGAAAATCAAAGCAATAGTGGAATGGCCTACACCGCAAGGAGTTCGGGATGTTAGATCGTTTTTGGGGTTAGCCAACTTTTACAGGCGGTTTGTTAGAGGGTTTTCGACTATTGCATACCCTCTGACAGACTTGACCAAGGAAAAGAAACCGTGGTACTGGGGAGAGGATGAGGAACGCAGTTTTGCGCAACTCAAGGTGGCTTTGACGACGGCACCAATCCTTATATTCCCGGATTTTGAGAAGACATTCGTATTGACCACGGATGCCAGTTTAGTTGCTGTAGGTGGAATCTTGCAGCAAGATCATGGAAAGGGTCTCCAACCGATTGCGTATGCATCAAAGAAATTGAACTCAGCGGAGATCCGATACTCGGCATATGAAAGGGAGTTATTGGGTATCGTATGGGCAATGGGACAATGGCGTCACTTCCTACAGGGACGCAGGTTTATTATTCAGACTGACCATAGTTCCCTGCAACATCTGCCCAATCAACCCAGTGTCCACCATCGTATTTGGAAGTGGGTTGGTGTTCTGCAGAGTTATGATGTTGACATCAGGCATATTCCAGGCCGGAAGAACCCAGAAGACGCCCTTACGTGACAGAGGTGGATGGATGACCAAAAGCTGAGTAGTGCTGCAAGGGAGGAGGACAGCAATCTGGCAAGAATCTTACAGATAGGTGAGAACCCCTCAGATCAAGACATCCAAGTCGCATTGGATCAGTTGTTTGTTGAGAGGAAGGAAGTCAGTTCATCTGCAGTATTGTCATCAGTGGAGAGCAGTAATAATGGAACTCCTGCACCGTTGGCATGATGTTTGGTCACCAGGACCACTCTGGACATTGAGTGTCGACTCCGAGACAGGATGATGGAATTGTTGGAACAGGAAAGCCCATACTCGGAGATTTTACAGGGAATCGACAAAGCACCGCTCACTAACCCAGAGGTGAGCCGAGGTCAGGAGAAGTATAGGGTGAAGCACCACTCGTTAGTTGTCCATCGTAGCGACTTCAGTGACGAAGAACAGTATTGGAAAATTGTGGTACCAGACCACCATGAGATCAAGAAGTTGCTACTCCAAGAACTCCATGATGTTCCCTATGCTGGACACCCAGGTTACCTGAGGACATTGCACACTGCCAAGAGAGGTTTGTATTGGAGAGGAATGGCAGGTGATATCAGAGAGTATGTCCTATCGTGTCCAGTCTGTCAGCTGGAAAAGTCTGAGTATCAACGTCCACGTGGCGAGTTGCAGCCATTGAGAGTACCTGAGCAAAAGTGGACAGAGGTGACTTTGGACTTCATTACCAAGCTGCCAACAACTCAATGTGGTAATGATGCTGTGCTTACAGTGGTCGACAGGGCCACAAAGATGGTGCATTTTGTACCCTGCAAGGAAGAGATTTCAGCATCTGAAACTGCATTTTTGTATTGGCAACATGTGGGAAAACTTCATGGATTGCCCAAAGCACTATACTCTGATCGTGATCGCAGATTTACCAGTGCTTTCTGACGAAGTTTTTGGAAATTGGTTGGTTCTGACTTGAGGTTCAGCAGTGCCTACCACCCACAGACTCAAGGGTTGGTAGAAAGAATGAACGCAATTTTTGAACAAACACTGCGTTGCACTGTGCATGAATTGGGAGAGCCTCGTGATTGGGATTCATTGGTACCCATTGTTGAATTTAGTGTGAACAGCCAGCCAAATAGGAGCACGGGGTACACGCCTTTCTTTTTGAATTATGGATATCACCCAGTGACTCCAAATGAGCTGATCAGAGGGACTGACAGTTCTCCTGTTGAGACAGTGACTAGCTTTGCTCAGCGCCTGCATCGAACTTTTACCAAGGCGCGGAACAATCTCCACCGGGCGAACGAGCAACACAAGAAATATTATGATCGTCGTCACCGCCCTGAGACTTACGCAATGGATCAGCTTGTTCTGCTATCCACTACGAACCTTCGGATGCGTGGTACACCGGCAAAGCTGCGGAGACGCTTTGTGGGGCCCTTCCGTATCATCGAACGGATTGGTACCCAATCCTACCGATTGCAGCTTCCTGATGACTGGCGTATCCACGACGTGTTTCATGTGAGCCTACTCAAGGCATGGCGTGACAGTGATTGGGATCAATGTGAGCAGGCTCCTGTTCCGGAAATTGAGATGGCGGATGCGAGTACGAAATTGAAAAGTTGCTCCGGTGGCGATATGTTCGGGTAGGAAATAGGAGGACTCGTGAGTTTCTTATCTTGTGGCTTGGCTGGCCGATTGAGGACGCTACTTGGGTACCGGAGACAGAAATTAAACCTCCCGAGGATATTCCAATGATGATTGAGAGGGACCAACCAATAGAGGACACGGGTGGATCGAGTGGTGGTTCATGATTTGATTTTCGGGACGAAAATACTCAAAAGGGGGAGTGATTATCAGATTATGAACGGTCAGGACATTTATTACTAGAATATGAAGTGTATGGGTACAGTAACAGTACACTAAGGCACCGGTGTGGGTGCCATGACACGAGTTCTTTCCACACCGGTGGCCCACGAGCTTACCACCGTACTTATGTGGTGAGTGCGGTGTAGTAATGATCCTTTCTCGCGCAAGCAAACTGCGCCCGCGACCCGACCCCGCGACCTCGGCCGACCTGGCCGGCGGAGCCCGCGAGTCCGCCTGTTCCCGAGCATACCGCCACGAGCGCCGTGCCCAGCACGCGCAGTCCGACGATTCGGACCCGGCGGAGGCGGAGCATCGAGCGGCTAACCACCACGCGCATCGGAGGCCCCCTCGCGACGGCGGGGGCCCGAAGGGAGGCCGACACATCGCCTAGGGCACCGGTCGCCGCCGAGTAGCAGCGCGACCCAACAAATTGGTGGGGATTGAATTCCACCAATAACTGCCATACAAACGCGGGAAGCCGGGCATCTGTCAGCTCCCTGTGAACTTTGAAACGCAGGTGAGGCAACCTCCTCGCTTAGATACGCAAAGCTTTTTTCGACTTGATCTCCGCAGAAGCTACTCCCATCAAATGACCTGCGGACCGTGAAATCGCATTAAATATAAATCCACATCTCCAACAGGTGTGCTCAAGCCACTCAAATCCAGAGTCCAACACATTCGACCGCGCCGGCAGACCATAGTGCATCTGTGCGGTCATCCGTCGCTGGGACGCGCGGAGTGGCAGCTTCCGATGCCCATGTGCCTTTGGTTAGCTGCAAAGTCCGCCTCACTCTTTTCCGTGTGGGGATAAGATTAAACTCCGTCCCTAAACGGATGGTTCTTGCCCCCGCGGTAACAAGGGCCTACATTGGGAGGCTTGGGGCGGCGTCCATCCTTCTACGGCAAGATTCATCCGTTCAGGTGTAGGCATTAATTCAATGCCTGCTGGCCGGCGGGCCGGACAGGGTGGACGGCGGATGTTCTCAAACCGGGGCCACCCATGGCCACCCACATATATACCACGGGCGGCCCCCAGCCTGCGAACATCTGCAGTCTACCGGCCCCCGTAACCACCCTCCAGATTCAGGCTCCCGCATCACGTGTGCCCCATCAATGAGGGATGCCATTGCCCCACACCCGCGGGGCGTCCGCCAGCGACCCGGGCGGGCTGCGCGGCGGTCGAGGATGGACTCGGGCGCCCGCCCCATTGGCAAGGCGTCCCTGAAGAACCCCTTCGTCGGGCTGCACCACGGGTCGCGGCAGGCGAGCGTGAAGTACTGCCTCTGGGAGGTGCTGCGCGATTTCCCGAATGGCCTCAACGTGACGGAGATCGTGAGGGAGCTGGAGCACCGGGACTTGAGGGATTTTTCCGGCAGGAAAAATGTGCCGGGTCAGGTGGGGGGGAATGGGTGGGCAAGGGGGGGAGGGGCGGGCCTCCGCTTGCCGGGGGGCTTTTTCTTTGGCCCTGTTCTTTGTCCAATCCCAGCACAATTGGGGAGCAGCGCCGTGGGAGCTGGGAGGGGGCTTAGATTGCGGGACTGGGCCAATCTTTTGAGTGGCAGGACGGCTTTCTGGCGCTGTGATGCGGACGGGAGGGTGTGCTAGGGCAGCATTGCTGGCAATGCCGCTGATTTCTGAATGTTGTATTATCTCTGGAAGAGCCGGCGATCGCCACTGGTCGCCAGTGCTCCCCATTTGTCGATGCGATATTTCTTCCAGTAAGGCCCACGGCAGGTTTGGCAGTGCCTTTGACTAGTTTACTGATGCTGCAGCTGCCAAAGGCCATATGCAGTCCATCTCTGTTCATGCACTGAATGGTGCAGAATTGGTGCAGTGCCCACTTGGGTGCAGTTGCTGCCACAGTGCGACCCTTCTGTGGCATGGCAGGTTTTTTGGTGGTAACTGAGGATTGTTTTAGGGCGGGAAGTTTGCCTTGTCCCTCTTGTTGTTCCTTTTCTGGCTCTCTTTTGCTGCATCCCGATTTTCTTTTGCAGAAGGTGTGAAAACACAGTGAGCCTCAAAGCAAAGGATTGTCCTCACCCAAATTACACGCCTGTGCCCAGTGCTGGTAGCCTCTTTCTGGAATCTTCTATTTTGCACTCTGATAGATTATCTGCAAAGCAAGATTGGTGGTTTTTTCTGCCGTTCTGTTGCAGACAGATAGTCAACCAGTTAGCACTGGTAGCAGTCTTCAGCTTTGTAGTTGCAACTTTAGCAACCAAAGTGTTCTCTTCTCCGGAACTGTTCATGAGGCGGTGTGTTCTATCAATAACCATGGACATCTGCCACAAATTATTGGGGCCACAGAGCCCAGCATCTGGGCTCTGACAAGCCAAACTGGTGTTTCCAATATTCGCTGATGCATGCTTCCTGATGCAGTTGTAAGCTTGCACAGCATCTTCAACATGACAATGGAGAGTCTCTACCACAATGCCCCCACGGGCACCAACTGTGTGACACATTTTGTTATTCGACAGGCTTTGCTCCTGTGTCCCATAGCAGAAATGCACACATGGAGGTTGCCTGCGGTCGTTTTAATGCCCTGCGATCTTCTTCATGCTCTGCAGTCCTTCAGTGCCCAGCTAAGTGGTGGTGCTGGGGGCTGTGCAGTGGTTCACAGTAATACATGTGAAGCATACAGTTGGACATATTAACATCGCCTAACAATTCCCTACAGTTGCAAAGACAATGATCTGTGATACTTTCAGCTCAAGCTGCACAACTGTACACCTATGGTCTCATCCGCTGGTACCCCCTCCTGTCAGGTTTCATGCGACCTTGTCCGGCATCGTGACCATTTCATACATGACCCCGACCGGAAGCTGTGGTTCATCCGGCCTCTGGCGCCCCCTGGTGTGGCCGGCCACGTGCCAAGGAAACCACAGAGGGGACGGCCCCCTAAAGCTGCCACGTTGGTGCGAAGGGGACAAAAGCCACATGGCAGGGCGATCGTTGGGTGCAGAGTTAGCGTGTGGTAGGTGTCTTATTTTGATAACTCGAAGAAGTGCATCGCAAGGAAGATCCATTGCTACCCTTGTCCTGAGAATAGGGATACATGCCTTTTGCCACCAGGGATTGGTGTGCTGTTGTTTCTGTCAATAGGATTGCTTGGAGTGCAAATGCTAATCAGTGTTGTGTCCCTGTTCTGTGCTGTCGAATCGCCAATTCGAAGATCGTGTTCAAAATAAGAACATGGGACTTCAAATCCCAGCTGCTAAGTGGGGCCAATAATGCCTGCCTGGAGGGTACTATGGGCTACTCAAGGATCTTTGTGCTGCCTGAACAAAGTTTCCACAGCCTAAGGAAGCAGGGACTCATTCTCTGTTTCATTGATGTGATTTCTACTGTAGAAATTGGATACAAGGGAATGATGCAAGGGCATGTACATTGGGGTTTTAGAATGGTGGGATACCTGGCCATTGGCTCCCAGTGTCATTCAACATATTTGTTGATAGCATCTGTTGATGGCATCAACAGACGCCGTAACAACATTTTGTTGATGCCATATAACAAGACACCATAGCAGCACTTGCACTAGCCGATGATGGAAGTTGGCACTGTGTTGTACTGGCATTGTCTGCATCAGTTGGACTTGAGGGTGCACCCCTCACTTTGCAGTTCGCTTTTTCTGGGAAAAATAGTGTGTTTTGCATCATGCAGGCAATGTCAGCAATGTTTGGCTGTGGCTCAACAGCTGATGCGACAAACAGCGCAGCCTTCGATGTACAACAGTGCTCCATTCCTGTGTCGGCTCAGACAGCAGAGAAATGGATTTGTCCATCACAGAGCTTGCATGACCGGTGGACATGTTTGCAATATTCAAAGCAGCTATAGTTACCAAGGAATTTTCGATTCACAGAACGTGTCCAGCAGTTGAGAATTTGGCTTGGCAAGGATTTGAGGTACCCTGATATTAGGCGGTCCCAATTTATGCACAACTTTTACCGCTTCTTTTGGGACTTATCCTACTATGTGCTGTTGTCATAATTGTCCGACCAACAGTTTACCATGTTGTCAGTTTGGTACGTGGTTTTTGAGACAGGGATTGTGGAGATTGCACTTGGGACACATATCTTAGTCAGCACCAAGTCTCGTTCATCGCCATGAAGGTGCTAGGCCATCACTTCGCCACATTCAATAAATTCAATTGATAAGGAATTACTCATCGCAGACTTAATGCTCCAGCATTACTCTGCATCTTGTACAGGTGGGCCGGCAACTGCAAATTCTTCGATGGCACGATATCAGCATATGATGTGCACAATGACACCTACACTGTGCTGTATGACGATGGGGACACAGATGAGGCGCTGCAGTTCAAGAACTTCGACGTACTGTTTGCAGGCATGAACGTTGATTGTGTTCGTGTCTTGGAGACGGATAAGGACGAAATCGAGCAGGCAGCTAACACCATCACACAGCTGGCCGCCGCGGGGATGTACTCTGCTTGTGCAGGTGAGGATTGTGGTTTCCTCATCTGCCTGTCCTTACGATTTGTTTATGGATTGATCGATTGAGGATTTTATTTTTGGCAGCAAAAAATGATGTCACTGTCTGGGCAACATTCTGAGCAAGTGCTTGATGAGACTCTCTTTGTGAAATTGTATCTGTTCTGTTGTGAGCAGTGACAGCCTGATTTGTTATCACAGATACCCCAATGTTGCAAGTATCTGTGATACTAACCCAGGCAGTTTGAAATATTTGATGGCATCAAACGCGGTGTCCATACACACTTTGAAGCATTTGATCTTCATGCTGGGCTGCATGGTAGCACATGAGCCCCAGCACAAAAGAGGCATGCAAAATTTGGGCACTGCACATGGATTACAACAAGAGCAAAGCGACACTGCATGCATTGACTCACTAGTGCAGCAAACAAAACGATTGAGTGGATCGTGAGTGGCAGCCTCTTTTCACCACCTAGTGCTTTCCTGTTGTCTCAGTTCTGGCTTGGTTCACATCAGCATGGCAGCACACCATGTGTTTCCTACAGTTATGAAGACACTGCATTTTGTGACGGGCTCTGTGCTGGAGTCTACACTGGAAGTCTGTCTTGCTCTTGTCCCTTGGCCGTTTGAGAAATATGAGTGTGCATCAGAACACCTACTGCGATCCATTTCAATTGCACTGTATTTTCGAACTGGGGCTGTGCTGGCTGAATGAAATATCCCCACCCTGTTTGCTGTATTGTCGATGGTTCGTGCTGGTTCTATCTGTTTCATGACTGCTGCAGTAGTGCCTGTCCAATTTAGCACTGTGGCTGTGCTCGATTTGCTGATGCATGAAGGTACTAATGGGGAGATTTACATAGAACTTTGGATACATTTGATGCAAGAGCGATGGTGTGCAAGAAGTCAGGATGACGCTGCCGTGCACAGATTCACTCTTCAGCATGCGCATCAACAGTCAGATAGATGTGTTGACTTCAGTCTCCCCAAACTGGGATTTCCAGTCAATCCAATATGAACTCGTCTGTTGCCTACATCGCTTGGGATGCCCATCAATTTCAGTTGCCTTCCAGACCAGTTGAAAGTAGAATAATGAAGTGTGGGTGGTAATTGGGTACCATGGGTGTAAACCTAAGTGTGGTCTCGTGGCTGGCATTGATTCTCAAGCCGACAGCTCTCTGAAAGGCATCAACCTGTGATGTGTGTCTCGTCTGCTGCCCTGTTCCGCCTTGCTCCAAAAGCAGCTTCAGCTGGTTGCTCCAGTGGAAATATCTCAAAATTTGGAGGTGTGATTGCGCAATGAGTTTCCTGAAGTTGCCCTGTCAATAGCAGTGTGCAGAGACATCACAGTTCTTTGCCTTCACAGGTTCATTGCAAGGTGCTGCTCTCTATGAAGGAATTCCGCATACTGGTCAGTTGCGCAACTTGCACTTGCTCCTTTCAGTAATGGATGGCAAACAACTGCCCTTACAGCCTGTTGGGGGGATTATCAGGCGCTTTTCACATGCACAAGTGCTAGGTCTCCCAAGCATTGCTGCTAGATCTGTCTTCCAAACATGCCCGATTGCTGCTGATGTTTCTTGGTTGATATTGTTTGTAACAAGTTTAGCCACAAGCGAATGTCATGGCACCGGCCTGTGCAAAGTCAACCAGTGAAGTCCCTGTCCTGGTACGAAAGCCCATCACACACTTCCGGTTAGTCAGTGAGTACCCCCATGAAGAAACAGACAATTGCTGGGACCATCCACTCTAATGCAGAGGGCAAGGTTCACCAGAATAATGGGCCCAAGTTGCAGTTGCCCTTTCACTGCTTGACTGATTGAAAACATAGTTCATCCCATTTGCACTGTCTATGAAATGCTTCCTGCTCCCACTGGTTTGTAGCAGTTGGGGATGCTGTGGCTTGCTGGTAAAACATAGAGACGCCCATCACTAGGTGTGTTGGCACAAAAAGCATTCATTTCTGGTGCTGGGTACAGTCAAACCCCCAAGAGCACCTGGATAAGAGACATTTCGACCATTGTGTAACTGTGAATTTTCCAGCCATTGTTTCCGGCTGTTTTTTCACTGCTTGCTGTCATTTCGCCACTTGAGATCAACACTAAGGCCCTGCGTGTTTTCCTGCTGCTATTGCAGCTGGACACCCTGACGGAACCCTGCTCCACCAGGGTGAGTGCCATGCAAGGGCATCCAGAAGTTCAGAGTTTGGAATTCGTAGAATCAGGGATTTGTCCTTGTAGCATTTTCTATTGTCTTTTGCTACACTTTGCAAAGGTTGTCTTTGAATGGAAGAAACTTATGCCGTGAAATTGAGGTTCTTGAGACTATCCACAAAAGCAGAGACATTCAATCCTGTTACGCTAGTTGAATGTTGTTTTTGTCGTCCCTTGCAGGTGCTCCTCATGACAGTGGCACTACACACAATGGTGGGCACACCTTGGTTGTTTGTCTTGCCCTCTTTGGTGCTTGTAGTGTGTGCTTATTTGCACCAGAGATGGCGGGTCATTTTTCACAGCATGAAAAAGCTCTTGCACACAATTGCCAGGAGGGGGTAGATTTTGTATGACCTGTTTCTCTATTGAAAGTAAAAGGTCTTGCAATGGTTGTATCATACTGTTTTTATTCCAGAATCTTACATCACTTCTCAGAGCCCAAGTGCCACCCCCCCCATAAACGTAGTCATGTACAGCATGGATTCTTCTCTCTGCTGGCTTGTAGGCAAATCAAGTAATGCACACCTGAGTATTCTGGTGGGCAATACTATCACAAAGTAGGGGATTTTATTTGATGCTGTGGATGTGTTGGAAGCTCACCAGTGCAAGACAGATGCACAGTGCCACTTGCAGTTGGCCTGTGTGTATTCGGACCAGCAGCAGCAACATAATTGAGCCTGGGGACCATTGTCAGATCTGCATTGCAGGAAGCTATCAAACTTGTGGGTACAATAGTGTAGTGGACTATTAGCATGCTATAGATATGTGCCATAGATTATCATCAGGACAGCCCAGGTACAAGGGGATTTCTTATGACATATTGTGGCCAATGGTTTCAGCACAGCTTTCCTTTGGTGTCCAGATGCATCTGGCCATATATGCTGCCAACTTTGCTCTATGCCCAGACAACAGCTCTTGGTATTACATTGCATGCAGCAATTGCAGCCAGTGCAGAGCAGACAATGCACATGTCACAAACATGAAGTTGTTCCATGTTCGACTGCCAGTGAGATGTTTGGAGTGTGGAAGAATGCAGTGCGTAACCGAGCCTGGAACTTTGGTTGTTTGGGAAATTTGTTGGAATGCAAAGTAATTGTGTTACACAGTGTGCAAAAGCTCCTTGGAGAATTCGTGTATAAGAGGGATGCGAGATGAAACGCATTTTTCTGTGAGACTCCTTTTAGAGTGGCAGGTCTGCATTTGATCAATTTGGCAACTGTTATGGAAACAAAACTATATGTGTGCAATCTGCTGCTGGCCATTCAGACATGTCTGGGACCACTGCAGGTACTCTGAATGATGCTTTGGTGATCAAAAGCGGTGAGTTTCTGTCCGATGTCTTGCTGTATTGCCTGGGAGTGTGTGGCGCCAGGCTTTTGGTGAGTGGCCACTTTGCACCTTGGCGACGATATATAAGGGGAAACCTTTGGAGGGGATTGTGTCTGTCACGATTATGTTGCCAAAGGTCTCAATCTGACAATAGTTTGTCAATTATGCTGACTATCAGTGGTGATGCATGGGTACAGCCAATGTCATTGTCATGATCAGCCATTACAAGCTGAAATTGTGCCTCCTGTGACCGGCAAGCCAGACCATGCTTGCAATGTGCAAGCTGTTGCGCACTTAGTGTGGAATCCTTGTCACTAAGCTTTGGTGAACAGATGGCCATAGCATACCCCAGGTAATCCCGTAATTCCAGTGTCTGTCACTGTGCTAGCTTGCTTCACACATGCACAGCCCCATCATGTGTCACTTTGTGGGAGGGCGTGGAGTGAGGAGCTATTGCCCCTTGAAACGGACACATTTATCTGCTGTATACATTCCCATATTTCCACTGCATATTCACAAGTGCCCATTATCTGCAACTGCAAATGTGTACAAAAGCAGCAAGATGTATACATTTGATAGACATCACCTGAAGGCTGCATGGGCTCTGTTTGTCCAGGATCTGGCGTACTGCGCATGATCAGTACTGCAGTATGTATAATGTGATATGACGTTGGGCAGGCTGGCTAGTTGGACTCTGTAATCTTCGCCACAGCACAGGAAACAGTTTAGCTCCAACGTGGGGTCATTCGTGTGTATGTTCAGTCGAACTGCAAAATCAAGGGGCATCCTTGTTGACAGTTGAAAGTAGTAAGGAAACAATGTGGTAACCATTGAGTGAACTTTCCACCCTGTCAATGTTAACTCAAATTTTGGTCCGTTGTTGTAGCAGCGGGGGCGGCTCGCAGTGGCGCCGTCTGTCATTCTGGTGAGCCATTAATGCACTCTGCTTGTGAGCTGTGCTTTTGTTGTAAGCTTCATCCGCCATTTGCCCCTGCATGTTTTTGCTGGCCCTTTTTGCCCCAAAATGCTTTCGAAGTTTATACCACACGTTGGGATTTTGCTACTAACTGGTTGTCCCCTGTTTTGCCTCCCTGTGTGCTGGCATGGGTTGTGTTCACCTCAACCAGCTTCTCAGCTGCCAATGCAACTGAAATCCTTTCACAAGCTTGCACAAACACCAGTTATACCCCATGCTGTAGGCCTCCAGTCAGGCACTGTGTCCAGTATTGTCAATGGTCATTAAGATGAATGATTGGGCCAGTCCACTTCTCTCCATATTTTTTATTGTTTAATAGTACCATGCGCAGGATGGAGCAAAGCACATGCTCAGGTTGTGTTGGCTCTTTGTGCCAGCTGCACTGCCAGCCTACACTGTTTCACTTGCAACCCCATTCGATGTGTTCACTAATCTGTTGATGCACACAGTTGTTGATGCACACAGACTGAATGGCCATCAAGCAATGAGACGGCTACAAATATCCCACAACTGAGCCATCACCATCGAGAAAGTAGTGTTTATTGCACAGTGGGTGTTTGTTCATAAGTCCAAATGCTTCTGTTAGCCTGAACTGGGCCGTTTGATAAGCGAGTTGATAAGTTAGTTGTTGTGCCCCACCAGCGGCCAGCCATGTGATATTTCCCATTTGTGAGATTCTCTGCGACAAATGGGAGGTTAAGCACCCTTGACCAACACATCCTTTTTGTGGTCCCACTGTTCTGTCATGTATGGCAAGGGATGGAGCTCAAATTGTCATATGCACTTGTGGGATTCGATTCACCCTTTTTGGGATGCACACAATGTCACTCATTTCGAAGACTGGTATATATGTACACTCTGTAGGTCCGCATACAACATTGACAAGCATCTGATTGTTGCATTATTGGCTATGGTCAAAAATACATCCTGTGGTATTAATTGGCAGCAGGCCCCTGCCTCTGGTAGTTACAGTGTGTGGCTTCTCTCTTGCACAGATCGTGATGTGGCGATGACAGAAAACGGTGAGATGTGGCTGAGCAGAGGAAAACTTGGGGGAGCGTCCTTTTAAGTACCTTTGTCAGTCTGGCACAGCCAGCATTCTTTCATGCGTATTAACAAAGGCAGATGATGTCTCTGAGTCTGGTAGGCAAGACCGCAACCAGCTTTGCTTCTTTGCCTGCTATGGTAGCAGGCCATTTTATTCTGCTGCTGGTGTGTTATGACCTAATCATGTTTGTCTTCCAGATAATCGTGTCGTTCAGGCGACAAACGTCAAATGTTCTACTTGGTTGCATTGTGCCCTGGGATAGATCCTATGGGATTCATGTTTTGGCTGTTGGCATGTTTTGTGCATTTTTCAGCCTTGTTTTGCGACGTTCACAGCCCATTTCTAGAAAATCACCTTAAGAGGGGGTTTGCAGCCCATTCTACAGGATTAGGTTTTGGTTTTGGCTTCAGGTATTTTGGGGGGCATGCACATGGAAAAGAAGCATGGTTTGTAATTACCCCCCCAAACGGGCTGCATCTGCATCTGGACAAAAAGCAGATTGGCTCGATTCATCGCAAGATGACGAGCACTACCCTTGTGCGTATTAGGCAGTGTTGGCTGATTGTACTCTGGTTGTGCCTTGCTTTCACATTGAGCTTGGCTTGCCAATCTATTACCTTATATATTGTAACTGTTAATCAATTGTCTAGCTTATGTGTGCGCCAGGACACAATTGCTTCCTGGAGTGCATCATTCAGCTATGTTTTGATTAAGGAGGTACAGGATGTCATTCTATGGCAGCGCAGTGGTTTTAAGGTTTCCATCATAAATTCAGCCACTATGTTCAAACTCTCCTGTGTGACAACTTGGGCTGGCAGGAGGTGTTGACCTTGCCTGTTTCACAAGATTGATAGCATTTTTGTTGACGTTCAAAGCTGTTGCAGCTGCTGTTGCGCTGCCACGTGGCACTTGTGGACAATGGCTTGCTTTTGCTGCATTCACATGCAAGATCATTGCACTGTCCCTGGAGCTTCCAAGGGGATGTCAGGCAGATGCAATCCTCCATCCCATGTGCCAACTCCTTGAGATCTGCCCAGAAATTTTAACATGAAGAGTGACTGAACAGATTGCCCTCGACTGTGGCGTTTGATCAGGCACTCATGAGAATTGCCATGTTGCCACTCAGAGCCTGCTTGTTTACTGGTTGGTGCACACTGTGAGGCACGATGCCTCAGCCTGTTTCACATGAATTGATATGATGATCTGTTTGTGGGAATATCAGGGCAGAAGTGTGAAGAGCCAGAAGGTGAGAAAGTGGCATATCGGCATTTATTGGTGCAGATGCTGAAGTGGGTGGGTGGGGTAGGTTGCGAGTGGGTGTGGTGGGGGCTGAGGAGGCGGGGGGTGGGAGGAAGTGGCATTGTGGTGTGTGTGTGGGTGTGTGGGTGTGTGTGTGTGGGGGGGTGTATGGGCCAGCACAATGGAGAAAAGAATTTTAACAATCCTTCTGAAATGGGATATGGCTGATTGGAAGAATTTGATTTGTTGTTTTGACATCTATGCCGTTTCCATCAACTTGGCTCTGTTGCCAAATTGCTCCATTTAGGCATGCATGTTCTGGTGCTGTCAGAATTGTGCAAACCTGGAAGGTGTTTCTTCTTTGGTAGCATATGTGTGAGTGGTTGTACACAACTGCAACAAGTCGCTGTCCCCGCCGCAGCATCCATGGCATCACAGAGGAAGTTTCATGGCATGGGAGCATGTGTGCACTGCAGTGGATTTTACAGTCTGGAAGCCCCAGATGTGAAAGAATAGCCCACCAGACCCTTGTCCATACTCAGGATGTGTGCTGTTTGTCAATAGCCAAGCACTTGAAGGCCTTGCAAGCCCTTTTCAAGTGCCCCAGCTGCTTTGTTCTTTAAGGCTGGCTACACAGAAACCTCAGCAGTGTTTGTCCATGTAACCTAGCAAGCCTAGTGCGCTGCTGTAGAGGCTGCGGTCTATTTGCGAAATCGGCAGTGGGGTACCCATGCCTCAGAACTCATTGTGCATGCCTCTTGCTCAAGAGCCAAAAGGCCAAAGACAAAGCAGGTGATTCCAGGGCGGCAAGGGCGCCCGACCGCAGAAAACACAAGTGAACCATGCAGGTCATGCAGTGCGGCACCAGATCCAGGGGAAAAAAAGCAAACATGGCCCCAGTAAGAGGAACCATCTTGTAACGAATCCCTAGAAAGGAGACACACAACAGCAAGGAGCCAGAGGGAGAGATAAAAGGGGGAGGAAGGCCATCAGTGCTCTTGCAATATTACTCCAACAAATTAATTGTAATATCCGCACCAGAAAATCTTGTGTCTGTGTTCCATCCTTGTTGGTGTCTATGCTTGTCTCCGACCTCGCACGTCAAACCCTGAATGTGGTCTGCGTTATGAATTGTCCAATGGTTGTGTGTGATTGCTCAGGGTCGATGCCGGCAGACGTAGGTCGGTCCAGCTCTCCGCCCCACCCATCTTCATCTCCAGCCACCAGTCTCCACATATCCTGCCTCCCATCGCAGCCTCCTGCTTCGCATGACTTGGCGACTGCTGCAATCCGATGGGCGGACCGCATGGCCAATTTGATGACTGCTTATCGAGCACGCCAGGTGAGGGGAGCTCACCCGTCCCAGAGCATCTTTGTGGGCAAGTGGGGACGAGGCATTGCACCCAATAGTTAGTAGTTTGATGCTCAATACTGAGTACACAGTGCTTGACAGTAATCAATGGCGCCCAGTTTGTGCGGAAGGGCATCGCACAAGTGGTCTGACTGCGAGACAAGGAGGCAATAATATTTGACTCCACAGCATCTTGTCTTGACACTGAAGGACGTCGGTCAGTGCCACAAGCATGCAGCTGCCGGCCATGAAATGCCTGGCAGTGCACGCTGAATCACAATCAGCATGACGCTCAAGGGCATAGGAATTAGTTTCTTGCATTTTCTTTGCTCTTTCTGAAAGGTGCACACAGCTCTGGAGGCACAAGACAATGGACTTGTAGCCAGTGATTGTCTAAATTCGGAGTGATTAAATGCATGCATCGGTTGTACAACCGGGTGAAAACCAATGCGCTAGATATGGAACGTGTCTACTGAATTGAGTCTGACAACGGCAGTTTTTCCAGCCGTTTGCAGGGACCTGACAACACTTTGACACAAGAAAACCCCAGCATCGTAAGAGCACATGAAGTAAACAGGTTCCAAGTTTTTGAGCGGTGTTCCTCTACATTATGCACACAGCCCATGTACCACCAGTCCATTTTCCGCTGCTCTTTGCATGTTCTTCGTTCTTGCAATTACACCAAGACACTATCGAAGGTTTCTTTCATCCGTTCCTGCCATGTTTCATGTTTTGTAAAATGTGGAATGGTGAAGAGGACAACTGATAGCTGCATCCTCACCAAGCACTTCAACAGCTAGCCGCACTTCCTTAAACCTCCCTGCCTTGGCCCGTCGGACAAGCAATGCTTGCAGCACGTTCCTGAGTTTGCAGCACTTCGTACCTGAAAGCCATGATGTGCTGCTGTGGGAACATTGCAAACGAAGACTAAATTCCACAGCACCTACTTCTGGAACAAGAGCACAACCACTTGAATTTCTTCCCAAGTTGAATTTCAAACTGAATGATCTAGACGTCGTATTGCGCAAAGCGTGGCACCCCTCCCGCCGAGAGCACCCTCAGGCAACCTGTCCACCTGTGCCATACCGCAACACTCTGTGAGTACCACGAGCCCCACCGCAGGTACTGTTATGATTGTGTGGTGGGAGGTGCGCAGCAGCCAATGTGCGCAAGCAATTGTTTGGCGCCTGGCTGGACGAAATGCCCCCTTAGCTTGGGAAATTGTCCGATGGTGCTGAAATGTGTGCACATTAATTGCACTGCTGGACATTAATTTGGTCCCTGTCCGCACAACCCCAGGTGGACATCAACGACCTATTCAACCGCATGCGCGGCCACGTGCCGGATCCCATCCACACCAACACGGCGTTGGGGGACCTCGCGAAGCGGGTGGAGGCTGCGGGGCGTGACTCTGGCATGATGGCTCACCCCCTTGAGTCTGAGCGACCCGGCGCCCACCGGCTGCTGCGATTCTGCATGGAGGCCTTCCTGCGCCTGGCGCCCGGGGTGGACGCATCGCTGCAGGTTGTTCCCTTTTTTGCCTTTGTCCTGTTCCAAATCATCACAGCACACTCAATAGGCGCCGCCCCCGTCCTGTCGGAAGGGGCTTGGCCCTTTTCCCGCTTCAAAAGTTGGCTGTTGTGTTCTGCTTATTGTTGCGTCTCTTCAGATGTCATCTGATGGTCACTGTATTGTGCCATCAGGTCACGTTAAGCGCTTAGTCATGGTTAAAGCGTCATTAACGTTGCAGATGGGCTATCGTGCGCCAGCATCGATACATTGGTTCCGCTCGATCTCCGTCTGTGGCTGAACTTTGTCGCACTGCCGATAATCCTGCTGTGCCACATAGCAAAATTGTGCCGTACTCGCATAGTTGGGATTGGTGCATAATGTTTGCAATGTCGGATGAGTACCATTAGAGTGACACAAGCATGGCTGTTCCCACACTGCAGTGGCATGTTAATAAGCAGTCGCTGTGTGACAATCCGCTGAAAGAGTGATGCCGCCAATCAGGAAGATCATTTCCATAAACGGCACTTGGTGTAGATCGACTATGGCGGGTCACCCCTACGTATGGATTAACGTGGTAACTGTAATAGTGTGATGATTGCCGTTGTTACTCTGATTCGAAGGTACTGTAAAATATTCAACCCTTCCGCATCAGAAAATTTCACCGTTACGGTTTTTGCTCCGCATTTTGCTTTTCAGAGCATTATTTCTATTTTTTTTGGCATTGCCCCGCACAGCAAGGCCAAGGTTTGCGTTGCTATTTATGTTATTTTCTCCGAAGAAAAGACCAAGCGTTACGTTGTTATGCGGAAGGGTTTAATATTATACAGTAGCTGTGACGCAACATCTTGGAATAAGGAAAAGCGAACCGTATCGAACTGCCATCATGGAAATCACCTGGCATGGCGACAGCGATCATTGGCAATGCAATTCTCTTGTTTAAAAACAGATGTACCTGACATACCCCGGACAACGCCCCCATCAAAGTCGAAAAACCAACACCAAAATGGTGCTGTTCTGCTGCCTTCAAGGCGGCTCATTCCCCAGGGCACCCTTCTCGCAGGATATACCTTTCTGGCCATTCATTGCCCACCATCCAATCTGGCATGCAACTGCCACAGCTGCCATCAGGAGCATCAGTGCTGTCCTGATGTCTCCAAATGGTATGTGCACATCTTGGCATCGCGCAAGTTCACAACCTTCCAGAACCAACTGGACCTCAACTGGCCAAGTGAAAGAGAACATCACCAGGACAATCAAGTTGACAGCAATGGACCCCGCCCAGCTTCACAAAAGGGGATGGCAAGAGCTCAGCAAATGCCATGAAGGTTCACACAACCAAGCTGACGTTACGATTTCTTGGACACCACGTTCCTCCATCACCAGCTCGTAGCATGGATGCACAACGATTTACAGTTTTGTTGCTTCCCGTTCTCGCCGTTTGCTCGCGTCCCCATGATCGATTCGCGGGGCAACTCACACAGCATGTGCGACTTGCTCCGAACGTCCAATGCCTTCAATTGAAACTTCGGTCTCCTCACCGACCGCTTGCACACCACAGTCTCCGATTCTTCTCACATGAAACCCTGCTCTACCGTAGTATATTCAACCCTTCCGCATAGCGACGTAACGCTTGGCCCTTTTCTGCTGAGAAAACAAATAAGTAGATAACGCTCTTTTGATAAACTTTCGCGGAGCAACGCAAAAACTCAAAAATAGCGCTCTGAAAAAAATGCGCAGCAAAAAGCGTAACGGTACAATTTTTGATGCGGAAGGGTTGAATGTACTACTTTACTTCACGGCTTGGCTCTTCGCTCGCTTCTATTTCACTCAGATCGCCCGGCCCATAGAGTCCTGATGCGGCACAGCCTTTCGAAGATGCACCCTTCTCGGCCAGACCCGGCGTCGAATTGGTGCAGCACTGCCGCCAGCATTCCTTCGACGAGGTCGAGCGACCTGCTTGTCTCCCGTTCTGTTTCTGGCGCCCAATCGCCCTTTCCGCGACCTCTGCCTACTTGAGGGTCGTCCTCCTCATAGCCTGGGCCTCCGGCTGGACGCTCAAAGCGCAAGACGTCCCCACACTTGCAGCTTGATGGCGATCGGGGAGGTTTGGGATGGCAACAGCACATTAAGAAGCCATTGGAGACAATTGGGGCTTGATTCAGCGCATCAAGGGCGTAAGTTGGTCCTAGCAGTGACTTCCAACAATTGCGACAACGCCCGGCTCGCTGCGCTCGCTCACAACAATTGCTTCTGCGGTGCAGCAATTGGAACATTCACAGCAACTTCTTTCTTGGGGCCGAGCATTGCTTTGGATTCGAACAATTGCGGACCTTTACGTCGCCTTGAACTCTCTCGGCAGGTGGCACAGGGGCCACACATCTTGTGATAGGACGGGGGAGGCATCTGGACACTGAAGGGCGATGTAACATTTAAAATCAAAAATAATGGCGACAATTGTTCGACAACGTCACGAATTTCTAGGTAAGCATCTGTGAAGCGTCATTGCCTGATTGTTATTTATATTTCTGCGACAATCGACGCAGGAGGCGCTGGGCTACGCGGAGGACCTGTCCAGCCATGTGCTGTCGCGCTGCCCGAGCGGCAAGCGCGGTGCGGGGCAGGCCATCCTCGCGTCGACGGAGCCGGAGCGCGACGACGACTTGGTGCAGAGGCTGCGGCTCGCGGAGAGGCGGCTGCGGCAGCTGGTGGACCTGTTGTGACAGATGCGCAGATGGGGATTGCAAACCGTCGCAAGACAAGGATTTGAAGAGGGTGGATGATCCGATGGATCCAACGGGGCAAGGACACACTGGGATTCCAAGGAATTGGGAGGGGAAGACTGAAGGACTGCGGGGAGAGGGAAGGATTGAGTAGACCCAAGGAGACAAGGACATGGGGATTGCAACTGGGGCCGGCGGGGGGCCTGGGCCCCTCGGGGGACTTGGGCTTGGACGCGCGCCTTTGGGGTCACCGAGGTGGCGATATAGATTTAACAGTGGGTGGGTAATTGGCCCGGCAAGGCCTGCATTTGGGGGGCGCCTGCTTACGCGAGGCTGCGCGTCGGGCAAGAATGGGGTCTTGGAGATGCTGGCCAGGTGAGGGAGTGACACATCCGTGTGGGCTGCGTATCTGCGGCGGTGGATACAGGGCGTCTGCTGAGCAGGCTTCTAAGATTTTGCATGCCGGTCATCCAGAGGACGGCTGTGTGCGGGGGCCAGGGTGCCATAGGTAGGAACTGTTAGCGATTAAACCTGGGGGGGCGGGCAGTGGCAACGGCGTGCACCCGCCATCTCGCCTCGTGGATTCGTTCTCAGGCATGGACAAGTTTGCTCTTGCACTTTCGAAGTTTTACCTTTACCGTCGTTCACCCCTCTGATCTGCGACATTCCGCTTGATTGGCGTGTGGCTGGCCGGCTGCCGGGAAACGTGAGCGCGGCGCTCGGAGGACAATGTTTCCCCATGCATGGGGACCCTTGGGCTGGTATGCGCCGCACGCAGGAACTGGACAAATGAAACCTTGCATGCAAGGCATTGCGAGCTCATGCACCCCCCTTGGTATGGCAGCATCACATTCCCACGGCGACGAACACCTCCCTGGAAGGGCCTTGCTCCCTTGCCAACACAGAAACTGTACATGGGGACTGAGATTCCCTGGCATGCCCCCATCCTTGTTGTTAGCCAAAATCAAACAGGCCCTGCCCTGGCAGTTCAAGCTGATTGTAGCTCTTCTCACATCCGCAGCGTATGTTGCAGAACGCTGACCACGCTCTCTGACAACTCACATTGGCTGTGCGAAGGCGTTGCTTGGCACTTTTGAGCCACGTCCAAGGAACGTCCCCGCGCTGCTGCGTGCGTCATCACCATTGATTTCGAAGCTCCAGTTGATCCGATTCCGCACTGGTCATGAGTGTTGGCGGCGCGACAGCCAAATCACGATCACAAGACCATTCCTTCCCATCTATAGGCGTGCGTTGAGCTGGTGGGAGTTGGCGCTTCGTTCCTTGCAGAGATGCGCTCTGGATCTGTTTTGCGAACATTCGGTGGGGAGCAAGAATACTGTTGGTATAACGTTTTGCTGTCCACCCACCAACACCCTACGCAGCCCGGATGGCTTCATTCTACAACCTCGGGCTTCAGGGCCATACCAGGCGAATCTCTCGACCCAGATTCAGTCACAACGCCCCTGGCGAGTCCAGTTTTGGCCATTGGCGGGCATGCGACGCTCCGACAAAATCGCGCAGGGCGTCACATCCTTGTAGGTGGCGCCCATTCCAACCTCTCCAGCCCGAGGTGGAAAGGGAGTGCGTTGCGTGCGCCCGACGAACGCAGCAACGCCATCTACCGCAAAGAACAGCAGTGTCGTGTGTGTATCGCTTGTGCTAATGCAGGACTCCACCCACAGCGTACTCTCCCGTGACGGAGTTCTTTTGATTGTGCCAGTAAAAACGTGATGCACTGCAGATGCACATGGTGCTCTGCTGCATACGTGCATGCTTCACCGCTGCAATGCGTGACCTGATGTTATGCGGCTCCAAGCAAAACGGAAGGGGATATCAGTTCGCTTTACTCACAGCAATGTCCCTACGATCCTGCCACAGGCTTCGCTGGCAAAGTTCTTCGACTCAAGGGAATGAGGTGAGAGCTCCAGTTAGCCCCACCACAGTCCATATTACCACGTCACAGCCGCCAAACGCCTGAATTTCCAAGCCATGGGTCCAATCACTCTTCCCATGATTGCAACTCCGTCTGCCTTAGCCAAGCCAACCTTGCTGTCCATGCGCTGAGGCACCTATCCACCACCTTGCACTTCGACAAGCTGCACCTTTTGACACAGCTGTCCTTGTGCGCCTGCATGGCTGCACAGCTGTTCCTTGAAGCACCTGTGGTCTGCTGCAGCCTATTCCAGCCACGTCAATCCAAGGCGCCCATCCACCGACTTGTGGGGGGCGGGCACTTCAAGGGGCCACAGCAGCATGCTCTGTTGCAGACTTGTGGCTCTTGAGCGGGCTTCAGCAGCTGACTGGGCACTTCTCGATAGAGACTATTGCAGATTGGAGGATTCCAACAGTGCCTTCTGCACAATTTGGGTGGCCTGGGAGGTACACAACATAAATTGAAGCATGGGCAATAGTAGCAACCAGCCATGGAGCACCAATGACTCACTATCTTGTTTCTGGCAGAGGTGTTCAGCAACCATGGACTGACAGTGATGATAAAGCCGACAACTGCATCTCTTCTGTTAGAATTTGAGTGGCGCCTGACTTCATGAATAAGCAGCAGTAACTTGGACAAACAATCCTGATTTTGGCCAGCGTACCTCTGCGTATCTGTCAAAACAGACTGACAAGCAGGATTGCTCACTTCGGCTGAGGCTTGTTCCAGGCCTTGTCACACACTTGTCAAAGCACTTCTCGTGCACAGTCTGCAGCCATCACAGCACAGTGAAAATTTGTGTTAAACAGGCATGCAATAGTGAAAGAAAGCTGCCCCTGCACCTGCAAGACAGCGATGGATGCTGCACCGCGCCTGGATTGGTGTCCCAAAGGCAGGAGTAGGGCCAGCAGTTGGTCATCACACTGGCCTGGCCAAGTAAAAATGCATACATAATAATGAATGCACAGTAATGCACGCAGTATAAGGAAAGGATTAACCTGTATGAAAGGCTATGGACTGAGCACAGGAATGCTTGTGTTGAGTTTGATACCCACGGCAGCATTTTCATGGCACAGATGTCTGGATTCAAGTCTGTATTTGGAAGGCTTGAGCAGCCCAACATGTACTAGAGGCAGCAACGATCTAACACATAAAAAACTAACAATCAACCCTTGCTCATCTCTGCACTTTGCTTCTTAACAGCATTAGCCGAAAATTGCTATAGTCATGCATACAGGCCAGTAAATGATATAAGCCTCAACAAAATGTTGGCAATGCCATTGAGCCTTGTCTGCTTAACATGTGCAACAATGCCAGAACGCCGGCCCCATTTTCAATAATGCAGTGCAAGAAGAAATGGCCATCTGTGTGCTGTTCAAAGATGCTCTGCACCTGATAGAATTCTTTGATGTAGGCAAGCTGCAGCTCCAGCTTCACCTGTCACAGTGAATGCAACCACACGGCAACAATCAGAGGCAGCAATTGCAACAGATCGAACATGCACTGCCAAAAAACCATCCACAACAGTGCGGGCGAGTGGGCAACAGTTTGCCAGTCTTTCCCAAAGCACACAAACATCAGTTCGCTTCCAGCACCAGACAAACCTGCGGTGGGAATGTTTAGTAGCCACAAGCCATCGATTGCAAACATGTAGGGGATGAAGCTGGTGAAGTACTGCTCCATAAGGTGCGCACGAGGCGGAATATTCATGCAGGTGCGCAACACATGAAGGTGTTCAATGCTGTTTGGCAACAATCATTGGAAGAGGTCTCAACTCGGTAATGACAGTGCACATAATTGAACGGCGGGCAGTTTCTGTCAATGAGATTGATGATGAACATTAACAAAGGATCGCAAAAGGAATTGATAATGGGTGCCACATCAATCATCGGTTTCCGTGAGAAAGACGTCGCCGGCATCCAAACCAACAGCTTTGTCGTGGCAAGCAGGCTAGCAATAAAAGGCTTGGCGAAAGACACAAACGATGTGAAATTAACGGACACCCCTGCAGCCCGCTCCCTTCAGCACTGGATCCCGGAATCTGAGAAGGCCACGGCCGCGACGGTCAAGCGCCTGCGCCCCTGGCAGACCATTCCCGTTGTGATGCAGGGGCCCTGTGCGCGCATGCGCCCGCACTTCCCTTCAGTGATGGCCCCGTCCGAGCGCGCATCACGAACTTTCCCACCGTCCCGCAGCACGTCGGCGGTCAATCTCACCGGGCCGTTGCTTGCTTCGGAGCGCAACCGATCGAGACGCAGGTGGAGCTCCGCGCACCACCATCCAGGCTAATTTTCGACAAAGCGGGGCCCTTGCGCCCAGCAGAGGATGCCGGACACGCACAAATCCAGCGCGCCTGCCCCTCCCCGTTCACTTTCTCAACTGCAATCCCGGCCCAGACGTCCAGCTCGGGGCGAAGTGCGGCGCACGCGCCCTGTGCCGCAACAGCCACCACTGGCCGCCCCCCCTAGCGGAGCGCCGCGATCGCGACGTCTCTGGCGCACAGGGCCCCGCACCAATCGCACCCCGCGCCGCAAACTCTTGTGAGAAAACTCCACCGAATCCATCCACCCTTCGGGCCGGGACGATCGTCCTTCATGCTCGCGTTGATTCCCACCAACTCGTGAAGGCATCCCGCAAACGGAGATCCTGCAATCTCGCCGGGCCGCCTCACCTGATCCAGCACCTCGGTATCGGAGACCTTGTCCGATGCGCTGTCCATGTCTAGCTCGCGCGTTGGACCGCGTTGTGCCCGTCCACGTGAGGCTCACAGCTGCAGCCCGGCCAGGCGGCGGTGGTGGCGTTCTGCTGTCCCCATGGGCGCCCCAGTTTCTGTCGCCCCTTTTATCGTCCATTGCCCACAATTTTTTGGCAGGAGGTATTTTTCTTCCCTCTTCTTCCCCTTATCCTTTTCTTCTTTCTCTTTCCTTTTCTTGCGTGATTTGCATTTGCCGTTGCGAATGAATGAATGAAAATCCCTATAGGCAACGCGAAAAACCGACACACTGGTCATGTCAGGTGTCTCTGCTGAGGTCAGATAACAAAACAGTGCATGAAATTAGTCGCTCTGTCTTTTCCGTGAAGACCCCTTCACGTTTCGACACCCCCAAAACCTGAAAACCACTGGCCCACGTTGGCCTTGTCAGCGGAAGAAGATGGGATGCTCACGGAAGAGACACAGAGACTAATGTGTTCTCTCCTCCATCAGCGGTCTCTAATGACCCCACAATGATTGGCAAAAGTGGGTTTTCGCGGAGAGTTTGTGGGGAGTGGGGTTGTATGTATGATAGGGGAGCCAGTTAAGGGGAATTGGCTGTAGTGAATGAACGGGGACGGCTTTGGGATTGGATCATAGTTGGGGATGGCGGCGGGAATAGGAGCTGAGGAAGTGTGGGAGTGAGGGAGAGTGGAGTGGGTAGTGTACGCGGGTAGCTGCTGGGCTAGTTGGCAATGGATCATAGCTGGTCTGGGCGGCGGGAATAGAAACTTGGCATGAGAAAGGGACACGAACCCGGCCAGCTCGTGAAAGTGGCCAGAGTGAGGATTCTGGATACAGCAACTCTTGAACCGTCACATCATCAAGCTATAAATAACACTCACTCCATCTGTAAGAACGGGTTCGGTTCGTGTGCGACAGAGTTGTCCTTCCTCGCGTGTCCGATTGTGAATGCCTCCCGTACCCCCTGGGTCGCCGCAGCCCAAAGGCTCAGTGCCAATTTGAGCCGCCCGTTCGCGACAGTTTTTGGTTCCATCGCCGGGACGGGCGCGGAAGCGGAGTGAGAGCACACGGCGCGCTGAGGAGCGCCGAAGGAGGGCGCCATGAAGATCCGTCCCCGCCCATTTTCTGGGGAGGCGGGTGGTGAAGATGCGGAGGGGTGGCTGCTCCATTTTGAGGGAGTATGCGTCGCGTCTGCTATCTTTGAGGACGCGCAGCGGATCGCGTTACTCACCGTTTGTGTGGAAGGAGAGGCTGCGCGGTGGGCGCGCTCGTTGGGTCGATGGATGCAGGACGGAGAGCGGGGATGGGAAGAGGTGAAGGAGAAATTCATCGAACGGTTTACGGAGGACGATCTGGAGGAGCGCATCAACGCTTCGTTGAAGAGTCTTAGGCAAGGTGGGAAGGAAACGGTCAAAGAGTACCTTAGCCGTTTCCGCGAATTGGTGTCCCGGTCTGATGAAGCGACCGAGGATGCCTGGTACAGGGCGTGGGTTGGAGGTCTGCGCGCCGACCTGCGCGAGGCCGTACGGTTCGTTGGGTATAGGGGCCTGGAGGATGCAGCGCGAACGGCAATGCGCAAGGAAAATGCCGCCCGCGACGTAGGTGTGCTGGACACCATGCACGAAAAACGCGGCACCGGGGATGTGAGGGAGGATCTCTTGCAAGCAATCGGGGATTGGGCGCTGCAAGCGCGCGCGACCAAGCGGGGCGCCGACCGGCAAGGCTCGGGGGGCCGACTGGCTGGTAACGCGAACGCCGACGAGCGGGTCAGGGACGTGCATCCGGCGGGGGGTCGCGGGATGGCGCGAGGGATGGCGCGGCCCAGCGATGCACGTGGCGGAGCGGACGCGAGGAGGCCGCCGCCAGCGGGGTGGCGCGCGCGCGAGTGCTGGAACTGCGGCGAGCTCGGCCACGGGCAGTGGGATTGTCCTCACCCACGGAACGCCGCGCCGCGCGGTCCGGTGGGGGGCTCCAGGGGCGCGCGCGGAGGCGCGGATGCAGACCGGGCACCGGCCAGGTTTGGGCGTCTGGCGTACGGGGAATCTGATGCATTTGTGAACGCTGACGGGGACGATTCCGAGGGGGGGAGTGACAGCTGCTGCCCGCCCGTTTGGAGTGATGAA